AACATGTTGAGGTTAATTGGTGATTCTAAATTGTCCATAAGTGTGAATGTGAGTGTGCTTGGTTGTCTGTCTCTAAGTGTAGCCCTGCGATAGACTGGCGACCTGTCCAGGGTGTTCCCTGCCTTCACCCTAAGTCAGCTTGGACAGACTCCAGCCCCCCATCACCCAAGTGAGGATTAAGCAATGTATAGATAATGGATGGATTCAGACAAAATTTCACTGCTGTAACTGTTAATAGAAACTGTGAGTAGACAATGACATTATAACTGATTCTCATTTAAGTATATGGCCACATACACAGGAAGCCAAAGTCTGACACCATTCAGCCATATTATGTGTGTGTCTACTAAACCTTCACTTGGCTGCGTAAGACATAAAATCATTTGGGATGCAGTGCATTGAATCAGCTTAATTGAATACACTAATGATTCCTCATTTGCAACAGGCTATCTTTATGCAGCCTATTGATCATTCTAAAATACAGCAGCTTGGCCGCCATCCCAGCCCTATCATCTTTAGCATCTTCCTTCAATTGCTCTTCCTTCAATTACAATGTTTCTATGACAGCAGCACTAGTATACCACTACTGCACTATGTACATAGCCTAAGAATAAGTTGCCACTCTCAAACAGACAAACCGATCACATTATGTCTTTTTAAATGCTTTTTTTTTTTTTTTGTGCCACCTGAGAGAGCATTTTGTGATGTGAAGTGTCAGTCAGTCATACTTACGGAGTTGACAATGTTTCCCTACGTAAGGGGAAGGGCAGTGGCATTTAAAATCTCCATCCAGGTCTCTGCAGGTGCCACCATTCTCACATGGCTGGCCAGCACAGTCGTTTACATCTGCAGAGAGACATTTGCACAGTCACTTAGAGTAGTTAAACATAAGGCAGAGGACAGGTCAACTGTTGGCCAGTTTGAAAGCCAATTACTGTGAGTCCAGAAGTGTGAATAATCATATCATGCAGACAGAGCTGGATATTTTTTCAGCTGTTTTATAAGGAGGTTAAGTGAAGCCAAACCAACAGGACTGGAACTGTAGCAGAGAGAAGGTTAGTGAGAGGAGCTTAGTTTTTATTAGTAGACAGTATATGTAGCCTTAATCAAGATAAGTAACATCAAAGGACCAGCTGGACCAGAAGATCCCATGGTGCTGATAAGAATTGTGTCTACGTTGGTGAGCGTGAATATGAGTGTTACAACAACAACAACAACAAAAGTAAAAGCAAAACTCATTATACATGCTCTGTTCAAAGTAGACTATAGGATCAGTAAGAGTCATTTAAGTGCTTGCACAAGTTTCTCTGTAATTTTTTGTTTCACCTCTTGATGGCACTCTCACAAACACTACAGTCCAGCTCAAAGTCTGTAGCAAATGAGTCAGAGGGAGGAAAACGAATCAGCAGAATGAAACGGTAATAAACTCCTTTTCATCTCTCACCCACAAGAACTGTCAGTGTGACTAAACCAGCTTTGAACACGCTCTATATTGACCACATTTGCGACACAAGGCACAAGTTTGGTTGCATCTACAGATGACTGCACACCAAAAGGGAAATTTCAGGCAATCTCTAAAGCTTGAATCCTTCGTGGTGGTCATTATGAAAGAAATTGCACGCAAACAACCCAGGCACACCAATGAAATGTTTGTAATCAGCAAACACACACATGGCAGCATCTCCCTGCCCACATGCTCTCTCTATAAATAGCTCCGTATCCAAACATTCATTTTCGCACGTCACAGAAGAAATATAGTAATTCTGAAATGTGTATCCACAAACGCTGGATAACGAGTCACAGTCATGACACTTCTGGCTACAGGAGCTCACGCTAAATCATAATAAACACACCAATTCAAGCTGAAGCAGCAGCTGATTATTTCAAATATTTTGAATAGAGCTCTCTACATGTTTGCAATAGCTCTTTTATTAATTTACTGTTGTGGAACAATCTGATAGCTGCTCCCTCTGTCTGTATTCAGATATACTGATATATTTAGAATCAGGTCAACCTCTGGTGTGACTGGAACAATCATTTTTTTAAAAAAAGGCTCTTTGACATGCAATGATATCTAAGTTATTTAATTAAATATCTAAATTATTGAATTAAAAAAAAAAAGTAAAATAGATGGCTATTACAAACTAAAACAAATGTGTAGAATAAATTTGTAGGCCTAGTATCTACGTGTTTGGCTAGGTCTAAGGTATTAAGACCTGTAGCTCATAAGCAAATACTGTCAAGGCAGAAAGCATGATCCACCAGACAAATCAAACCTTCGATTGTTTTTTCCACGTATAATTTCTTTGAATGCAATTAGAATCAGACAGCTGTTTTAACAGGATAGATGAAAAATCTTTGTTATTCAAACATTCCACAGAGGTCTAAAATGTGGTGTCTGAACTACTTTCTAAAGGCTTCCTAACAATAGACTTTAAGGTTGGTTAAGAGGCTGACAAGGCAAGAAGTTGGCAAAGTTGTCTTTTCCATGGAGGATTGACCTGCAATATGTCAAGGAACACACCTCCTACAAGCCAGAGACCTACATAAGGAACTCTTGACAAAATAACAAAACTTTGGTCCTGAAGTGCGTCAGCTGGTGGCCTTCTACTGTAAGAGGATTGAGCACCTGGTGGACCACACTGCCTGGTCAGCTCCAGGCTCTAATCCATTTATCCGACAACTGGAGAAAAGAGGGAGATCATTAAAGGGAGGAGCCTGAGCAGCACACGGCACCACTGGGACAGGTAAAGGAAGAGGTGGATGTACTGTGACTTGCACGAATCAAATATATACACTTACACTTATGATTCTCTGATTTAACTGTAACTATGTCCAGTGCTTACTGATGCTTCTCTATTTAAGTCTTAACACCTGTTTCATATGTAGCTGTATCCATATATATATATATATATATATATATATATCTCAAATAGTGGTATATATATATGTATGTGTATGTGTGTGTGTGTGTGTGTGTATATATATATATATGTATATATATAGAGACAATCCAGCATCATTTAGTGCTTTAATTTGCACTCAGCGCTCGACGTTTTGCCATTTTGGACAGGAATAAGAAATTTCAAACTGAATTCTCCTTTTTATACCCAAATTTGAGCCGGCTCACTGGACTTTTCTGAGAAGTCAGAAATTAATCAAGCATAACATTCAAACACTAAAACTATTTTTTGTGTTCAGGAATGCAAAAAAATAGATATAGTTTGACATCTCAATCAAGAAATAATAATCTACTTTTCTATTTTTTCAGTTTTTGTGTAAAATTGTAAATTTGAAAAGTCATGCACAACAATAAAAATTATATTCTAGCATTAAAAATATCATTTCAGTTAAACAGCTTTGACATATTGGTGTATTTACCATTACAGAAACATAAAAAATGATTTTGGTAATTACCAGTGCTGTTCATTTAGGGCAGCTGTGGCATAAACCTTACATTGGGTGGTGGTCTAATACATTTGTTAAGCATTGTGTATATGCGGGATTTTGGGAGATTTAACGTGATAGCCAAAAAGACCAGCAGTCCATGACCTGTATCCAACAAACCCTCTGGCTTTTAACAGAAACAGCGCACTACCACAATATTTAGAGTGTCAATATCTGTTGCAGCATGAAGTAAAAACCAATAGATATCTCGTGAGGCTTGTTTGAAACCTGACCCGGATCGATGCAAAGCCAAGGTCAGCTGGCAGTGCATGTGATGATCAGCAAAGCTACAGGATCTGTGCTGAAGCCAGCAGGATTTGGTGCCAGCCCGCGTCTGTTGACCCAAACCAGATTTTTGTTGCTGTCCTACAAAAGTAGATGGTGTCTTGCAATGTGTTACGTTATTTATATCTCACAGTGTGAGACCTCAGCCCAAAAGGTACTCAAACTGAGTTGCTAGTAAACCATGTGTGATTTTTATGGTTCCACGACAACATTTCTCTACAAAGTCAAAGAGATATAGCTCTTTGAGGAGTGAATGTCAGAAAAATAAACTTTTGTCACAACAAAACATACTCTTCCACACTATATTGCAACACTGAAGTTGGAGTAAAATCATTTTCAGCCTTCAACTTTAAGACACAAAATTTGCCGTTTGACAATTGTAGGGAAGTGAAGTTGGTCTTTACTGCAGCCAATGACAACATAAAATTACCTACTTCTAATTACCATTCATACTGTTCCCATGGTACATTAACCAATAGGATGCTCGAAACCACAATGGCATTATAAAATAAAATGGCTAAAAAGGTTCCCAGATGTGTTATTTTCTGTGCACTGTGGAGTGGACTGGCTACAGTACACCAGGGAGTCCCATAACCCAGAATAGCTCACGGATTTGCCTCTGTCCGCTGGAGGTATGTAGCGCTCTAAGATGAAACTTCTGATATCATGAAGTATATTTACCAGGCGTATTATTTAAAGTGTGTGTTTCTGAGTGCTCACTCTAAATAGATCAAAGCATGGCGACATTCGAACCTGCTTAGTTATAACTGTGCTTCTTAAAACTGCAACGTCGGCAGCATTTTAACATCTAGATTAATGCCTTTCTGCAGTTTTAACTGCATATTCATCATTACTGTGAGACTAGCTCACCCTAATCAGAATCTGTAGTTGCTACAACAACATCAGACTCCATACATGTTACAACAGATACACACAGGGTACAACAAGAGCATCCCAGTCAGAGAAACAAAGCGTCATCTAATTGACAAAATCCTGACTTCATGTTGTTGTGGTTAGAAATTTGATGGACTTCCCCAGGCAGAACTTCTACAGTCCACACGGCATTATGATTACATGTTTAGATAATAGCAGTTATTTACTTTCTGACAGACCTTAAAGGCACTCAACTCCTAACTGCTTAGAGGTCAAAAGAAAATGAAATCAAAATGAACAATGCAGTACTTTCATACTACAATAACTATGTGAGTGAATACCAGAATTTATATAAAGAAAAAGGATTTAAAAGATTTTTAAAGCATTTTTTCAGAATTTGTTGTTCAACAGACCAGGGAATTCAAAAACTTGGTACTCACAGGGCTCCAGACTAACTTTTTCACTGGCAGCACTGTGTTCCTACCTTTAGTTCCCACCTTGTCACAGGCAAAACATATGACTCGCTGAACATTTTCTTATCAATAGACATATAATTTACAGGTGTTCCCTAAACACCCCACATTGCAGGCTGTTTTGTCCAAGACAAAACCGAGTTACATGTATTCTACAATATTATTTATTTCTATGACCGGAAAAACAGCAAATGCGGGTGCGCTACGTTTTTCTTGAGCTGACCGCAATTTTAGGTGGAAATTCAGTAGTACACCGAAGTGACAAAAGTAGGTACTTTAAACCACTGTGGCTAACACAGCAGCTTCCTGTGCCGGTTACAGCGACACTAATATGGCTTAATGACCATCATGCACTCGCACCAATGTGGGTGCGCTACGTTTTTCCTGATCTGACCGCATTTTTAGGTGGAAATTCAGTAGTACACCGAAGTGATAAAAGTAGGTACTTTAAACCACTGTGGCTAACACAGCAGCTTCCTGTGCCGGTTACAGCGACACTAATACGGCTAATGACCATCATGCACTCGCACCAATGTGGGTGCGCTACGTTTTTCCTGATCTGACCGCATTTTTAGGTGTAAATTCAGCAGTACACCGAAGTGATAAAAGTAGGTACTTTCCACCACTGTGGTTAACACAGCAGCTTCCTGTGTCAGCTACAGTGACAATAATACAGCTTAATGACCATCATGCACTAATGCAGACCACTTGAACCAACTTGCACTCTCTGAATAAAAAGGTTGCAAATGCGTCCATTTTAATCGCAGTCTGGAGCCCCGACTCATAAAGTTAGTTTAAAAACACTTGAAACTTATGATATGGCCTAATAAATACTAAATTTGTTGTTCAGCTCAGTCATATCAGCTGTATTGGTTTTAGTTTAACGAAAGCAACCTCTCTTAATTGGGACTTAACCCCTTTATTAGTCTGTTGCAATTCTCACATTGATGTTTACCTGTGAGGGTTCAGCTTCTCTAGTCAAAACACCTGACAGCTGCTTCATGTCGTATAAGATCATGTTGTGGTTCCAGATAAGGAGCTTTAGGGGCCTGATCCATCAACAGAGCTTGTTTAATGCAGACAGTAGTAAACCCCGAAGTGTAAACCAGGCTTCCTCAAAAAGACACACACACGCACACACACACACAAACACACACAGTTTTCCATAGGGGGCATGAAGCCCAGCCTGCCCACACAACCACATCCTGGGAGGAGCTGAAAACTCTCCCAAAACACCAGAGATCAACACACTCATACACACACCCGTTGGTGACTTCCAAACAGTCAAAATAACTGCCTTAATCTGTTCTGAAAATCTGGGATTTAGAGACTCTAAGCAAGACAGAGCCTGCTTCCCTCACAGTTTTTATCCATCTGCTTTGGCCTGAAGTGAACCGCTACAGATATCTTGCTCTCTCTCTTTCTTCCTCTGCATCTCCATATTTGAGCTCCCCTCCCCAACACACACACACTCCAACCCATAAAGGCTTTTAGGCCAATTTGACAGGACAGTCACAAGTGCTGCAGTCAGACCTGAGTAGTGAGTGTGACATTGTCAGGAGGGCAGACTTAATTCACCGTTCCGCCTCCATGTTCACTTTTTCGCCCGGCAACAGTAGCAACGCTGACGCTGCTCCCGCTAAGCGTGGACCACCACTTTCTGTTGGCTAGACTGGTATGAGGGATGTGTGTATGTGTATGCTAAACAGTCTGTATATGAGATCATGAGCTGTGTGTGGTTGCTCATGTGGGATGTGCAGTGCACACATGACTAAGCTTTTTCCATTAGAAGTTTTCTTGTTTCCTTGATATGTTTTCTCAGAGGAATTTTAGTTCTTTTTAGGGAAAATGTATTCAGCATAAAAATACTGCATTTGAACTACACAATGAGAAAGTGTTTCGAATTCATTTTCCATGACTGATAGAAAGCCTTAAAATGCATTGGATGGTGAGATTTTCTAGTCTATACTCTGTTTTCAACAAGTCGATCTTCCACTTCTTTACTGTTTCTATTTATACTTTCCTAGAAGCATTGATCTCTATCTTCTACATCTGGCCCCAGTTTGCCCACATCTACTTGTCATGTTCCAAGTTTAGCTTTTTTTCTGATTAAACCCACTCCTCAATCACAGGCTCACATACACTATATATTTCTGAATATTACATTTAAATGTCTGTCTCAATATATAATGTCAGAGTGAAGATGTTGGCTAAATGTTTAACTACACTACGCCTCCTTGGGTTCACTGGTTTTCTGCAGCCCATCTCCTTCTGTTTCAAACAAACCATAGAAGCTGGCTACCATGATGCTCATTCCTTGCCCACACACATACACACAAATTAGAGAGCACTTAAACTGTCACAGCAGTCATCAGTAGCTGTAAAAGTTGGGGGACCTCCCTGACCCAGCAGTCCTCAGGAGGGTTCTCATAAACCAACATGGTCAACTAAATTCCTTCATCGTTATTCCTGAGGCATTATCTAATTAGTGCAAATGCCTACTCTGCACGAGGGCTCTTGCTCTGGCAGCTAAACTAACATTACCAGCCAAATGACTTGTGAATGTATGGATTTTGATAGGCTGTGATTTGTGGGTTTCAGGGGCAAATGAAAATGTTTATAGCATAAATATACTCTGGGGATTTGAAATTAGAATAGAGGAGACCTTGTAAAGAACTCAACTCAAGCATAGGCACAGTTAAACTGATGTTGGAGGCATTAGGGAGTCTTTGAGTATAACAGGACACATACTGTCAGGGTGGCTGATCAAAAGGTGACATGTCCACTGCAGACATGATCTCACTGCCCACATTTTGTTGCTGGCCTTGACTCAGAAACAACTACTTGAGCCAGAGATAGCGCTGAACTCAGTAGCTCCCTGTCTAGGGGTAAATATGTGTGTCCATGTGTATGGTGCGTGTGTGTTGTCAAATTCCTCAGCTTCCGCATGCAGCCAAGAGAACAGAGAGTACCTAGGTTCAAGAAGGAAAAGAGACAACACTGTAGAAAACAGTCCAATTTCCACTGTTACCTTTGTTTGAACTTAAATCTGCCCCTTGGACACCTAGGATAAAAAGGCATATATGATCAAACACAATACACTTTTGCTCTTTCAAAAGTCCCACTTAATTCTTATTAAATTAGTTCTTTGCGCACACTTGGCCACTGTTATTCTGCTGCTTTCTCTTGCAAACAGTAGCCATCTGTCTCTGTGTGCAGGGCTAGAGGCAGTTGGAGGAGCACAGCACATGTTCTCAGCATTGCTTCCCTCTCGCAGGTTGACCTTGTTTGAACCAACCTCGTCTGAGTGACGTTTGAATGAAGCTGCATAAGGGCAACAGCTGTCCGTCTGGTGGCCAGCATTCACAGCTTCTGTCTTCATGTTAGTGTGTCGGGTTACACAGATAAACAGGGATTTCATCACACTTGCCAATTAATTTTAGTTGATTGTGCAGTATATCTACAGTTAGTATTAAAAGGAAATTAGCATATAAACAACAATATGACTTGTTATTTCATCGCTTTTGTCGATGAAAGTAGTCAAAATTGTTTCCTAAATAATTAAGACTAATTATTGCAGTTAATGATTGTGTTTTAAATACAATGTGGTAATAGTCAATAGTTTTTTTTGGCATATGATGAAACATAAAATATGCCCTCTAATCTTGTTTGCATTTCAAACATGGTGGGCGCGCTAGGAGGTGTGGTTTTGTTTTTTCTGAGTACAGACTTGTAAGTTTTAATCAGACCTCGCACAACATATTGGTAAAAGTATAGTACTGATAAAACTTTTGAAAAGAGTGCACAGACTTACTGTTCTGGCAGTGAACTCCATCAAAGCCCGGCTGGCATTTACAGACGTATTCACTGAAGACATCACCTCGGCGGGTCTGGCCCGTTAACTCACAGATGGCATCATTCTTACACGGGTTGGGGTTGCAGGGCCCTTTTGGTTAAAAAAAAGAGAAGAATAAGAGAAAGCAAAATTTAACAGAAGAATCAGTCCTATGAAAGGGGTTTTAACCAAATTTGAGTCAGGACTAGGGTTGACTTGCAGAAATTTCATTTTAAAAGGTGTGGAAATTTCATTAAGTATACATTTAAATTTACAATTTAGCTTTAGAGCTGCTACAAGTCGCTTGCTTAAAAGAACATTTGTTAAATTTGCCTATACAGCAATTGTTTAATAGGCAAACTGGAAAATAAAGATCTTAGAGGCATGGCTCACCAGTCTCAGTTTCATTGCAAGTTTCTCCAGAGAAGCCATCGGGGCAGATGCAGATGAACGGAGCCCCTGCCCCAGTCACACAGGTTCCACCATTGCTGCACACATTGACCTCACAGTAATCACCTGGGGGGAGGGGAATTGACAGGTTAAGTTCTACAGAACATTTTAAACAGATGACAAACAGCTACTCTGCTCCAGCTGCGGGCTGCCAAAGGACTTCCAACAAGCCACCGTGACCTTTTATTTGATCAAGTTAAAAGCGATCCCTTGATTGAAAAAGTACTCTTCTTCAAGTCACCTGCTCAAAAACTGCAGCAATGAGAAATATTACATAAAAACATACAACTAAAAATGGCTAGATCCTGTCTGACCAAGCTGTGGTTTATATACTCTTCATTGTACATTCAAAAATTCCTGACCGCTAACTACTTCCGGTCAACAAACATCTGATTATCCCCGGCTGATATTTCAGGACAGGAAGAAGGGATCAGATATTGCAGCAGCTGCGATTTGTAAGTAGATTTGTCACTGGTTCTATAAATGTTGAAACTATGTTTCATCCATATTTGTTCCTTATTTGTCTATTTTACAGAAAAGCCCAACCAGGGACGGGAGTTGAAAATTAGCTTAATGCTATACACTCTATATGCAATACATCAGATGTTTTCTATGTAAAAATGCATGGTCCCTGATCAAATAAATAAATAAAATAAATAAAAGAAGTGTTTAGCATTCCAGTAATATTTCTAAAGAATACAATATGTTTTGAGAGAGCAGTGGCAAAAAATTACTGCCATTATTGCATTTTCCACTCCATTCCCTTGCTGTGCTGTTGGATGAAGAATAAACAGCCTGCTGCAGGTTGGATGTGATGGTCTGAACAGCTGAGTAAGCCATCACTACACTGTAAACACAACACAAACACTGGATGCTTCTACCACCATGCAACTGCTGCCTGGCCTGAACCTGACAATCTGGCAGCTCTCTGGGCACGAGGGAAATCATGTCAGCTAGCACTGGATAGAGAAAAAAGGAATTGAAAAGGCATGTAGTGGTTTGCAAAAGCATTCAGAGTGAATGACTTACTATCGAAAAGTAGTTTCACATTGGTTACAAAAAAATAAATAGCACAAAATGGAAACTCAGTAGATATTTCAATAAGATACCGTAGACCCTGACAAACCAGTAAGCCTCAAGCATTTCCATAAGGTTCGAGCAATAACTCATGTGTAATTACAATTTTTGGCACATGGATGGAAATAAACTCTTAAATTATACCCTTATATACCCATTATGACACTTAGAATAATATAGAGGAACTAAATAATTTTAGAGTCTTTAACACTCAAGAAGACAGGGATGGCTTTTCTAAACACTTATCATTTAGATAATTGTTAAGGAAATTGAGGTTGGACCCCAAGTGTGAAATTGGTGGTTCAAGCATCACTAGGGTCTGCCACACAGGCTAAAAAAAGAGCTCTGACCTCATTTTTTAGTGTTTCAGGGGAATAGTTCTTCTTAACCTCAAACAAAACAGTCATGGGTGTAGATTGCACTTTTTTTTTTAGCCATCTACAGAAAAGATAAGAGCTGTTGTGCTGATGGTATAATTCTCCAACACCACAGGGCCACAGCTGAAAATGGCATTTCAGAGAGACTTTCAGATAAACTTAATGAGCATCGCTGTGTCCTCTCAGTTTGTAGCTCCTAGGAGCTTCAGTAAAAAGTCTTTTGGATGAGAGGTGAAACGTCTTCAAGAACCCAAAACTGGTTGCTTTTTCCTGAAGCTGCTAGGATTACCATGACCTGGATGACAGAGGATCGACACAGACACAGTCTTTTGTACACAGTCACACACATCCTTATGTGTTCCTCAAAAACACTCAAGGATGAGAGCACTCCAAGTAGTTTATTCATGACAAACTCTGGCCAGCAGAGAAACACGAACTGCTCTTCAAAGAGAGACAAAGAATAAAAATAAATAAATGACGTTATAAATGAACAGCAAGTAGTTGGTGGATTGCACTTAGCATTTCTATGTTTAACCTCAAATGTATAAAATGTGGGCCCCATTTATTATTCATTAGAAATTGAAAAGATGTAGGGCACATCTGCATCATATTCACTGGAAGAGAAGGAAGAGAGAGAAGGAAAGAGATTTACTTTGCAGACATCCGGTTTGGCTGTTTATGAACAAACGCACTTCCCATGGATGTCAAGGATTATCACTGCTGTTTTCAGTGTCATGGCCTTCAAGTGCTTTCATGTCTCATGGGATTCTTAAGCAACAGTCTTGCCTGGCACTGCCAATACATCCTTATCCAAAAGTTGCTGTTTGTTTACCTTAAATGTAACACAACCTCCCTTCCTGCACTGGCAGACAGCTCCCTCCAGGAAACCTTGTTTGTGCACAAAGATAACAGTGCTGAACAAATGACTCTAACAATTCATATTTTACTGGAAAAATCTTACTAATAACTGATGTCCTGTAAGATTAAAAAAAAGAAAAAGAAATACTAGATACGGTACATCATTTAGCTCTTTCTGTAAATGTTGCTTGTGGTCTGCCCTGACTGACTGAAGGGTAATTTAACCAGGGGCCTGCCTGGACTTACTAAGGAAATTAAATTAGCGATGTATCAGGTAATACATCCTGCCAAAAGACAGTGATCACACCACCACTTGCTTCTTGAAAAGGCCCAAAATAATGCTACTCACAGTAAAAGCCACATATGTATTAAATTACATGAGAAGATAGAAAACAGTGCTAAATTTTCCCCCTTTTCACACCTTATCCACAGTGCCTATGAAATACAATGAGATTTGATGGGTTACAAGGCATACACAAGAAGCTGACCTCTCCCTGTTCAGTTCTGTTTCCTTGAAAACAAAAGACTTATTCTCTCTTATCAGCTACATGAACAGCTGGCAGACAAATGCAGTTTCACAGAAGCAGGCTTTTATATTTCAAGGGAACTGACTGACATGACTGTAGTTTCAGTTCAATTTGTCGAACAATGACAATAGGGAAATATGCTTTGATTTTACTATCCTAGTTGACCCAAAAAGGGATGTGTACTGGGGATGTTAAAACCCCAACAAACACAATGGAAACTACCCACAAGGCTAGATACCATAGATGCATGTGAAGTGTGACAGTTGTGCTGCAGCTGCTCATATATGGAAATTCCCAAACCGCTGCTATCTAGATACGCAAACAGCAACATAAATCCTGTTGGTCCACAGGTCTTCCTGACCTCTGCAACAACTGTCTGCTCCATGATCAAAACGAGTCTTGGCACATTCAAGTTGACTTGATTTTTACTAGATGTGGGCAAGGACCTGTAAACACGGGCTACATTTCAAAAACAACATGTCCCTTATCAGAATGTATTTTTTCATTATATAAACACAATGATATCCTCTAAAAAATCTGGGCAAGTACCAGAACTATGAGTCATCTGAGGATGCAAGCACAAAACAGTCTATTTTGCAGCCTTCAATAATACATTAAATTTGTCAAGATTACACCAGTGCTTCAAGTGCCCAATTTGCTACCATACTTTGCCCAAACCACAGTGACAGATTAGGAAGGTATGTGAAGTTATGTTTGGCAGGAAAAGCCGTTTCCACAGGGCATTGTGCTTCTCTCACTCCTTATGAGTCATGGTCTGTGCCTTTCCCATGATGTCTCAGCCCATGAATGAGGTTAAAACGCTAGAACAAAAACACAGAACAGTTACAGCCAGCTTCACATAATGACTTAGTCCCCAAAGTGACCCACCGATAAGATGGTGTATGCGATTCCGCTAAATCTTGAGCCTCAGATAATAGGACACAGCTGGAGTTCAGTACCACATCATGGTATATCCAATGTACTAAATAAAATCTAGGAAAAAAAATCCTGTCACCATGAACTGAGGTATTTTATTATCTTGAGTAACTGTCCTTGAGGCCTGATGATAATTAGGACTTGATGTGCATACACTGATCAACCAAAACATTACAACCAAGTGAACAACATTGATCATCTTGGTACAATGCAATATTCTGCTTGGAAACCTTCAAGCATTTATGTTGATGTCACGCATCACCCAACTAAACATTGCTGCAGATCAAGAACCCCCCACATGGTTCCAACATTCTTCCCTGACAGTAGCAGCACCCTTAAGCAGGACAATGTGCACTGTCACTGTGAATAGCTGCTCAGATTCAGCTTGAGGGATGTGACAAAGAGCCCAAGATGCTGACCTGACCTCCCAACGCCTACAGATTACTGATAACTGACTTGTTAAACCATTTTGCACTATGCCTATGCTTAAAAACTGGCAACTTCACTTATTAAGGTTTAGAAAATAAGACTCATCTGATTGCAGTGACAGGGTATTGGCTGCAGAGAAATGGGTTTGGAGTGAGTGTCCGTGATAAGTCACGTTTTCTTTCTTGGAAAACAATTTATGGTAAAATAATTACAAGAAACAAGCAATCTGAATCACCTGAGAAGACATCACAACAAGAAAGTAAAACACCTCAGGACTGTGAAGCAAAACCTGCTCTAAGAAATCTTTTAAGGGCTGTGTGCCATGACTGAGGATGAAGATTGGGGAGCCATTTCAGGACAAAAGGGGTAGGAGTGGATCATCTGAGGACAGTTAATGCAGCACATTTAAGAGAAACAGCAAGAGGTTCACGGAGCCAAAATAAAACTCACACTGACATCACTGTGCAGACGAAACATCATTATTTCTGGGGGCTGCTGTGTTTTAGACTAAAAGGGCATAATATTTGCTGCATATGAAAAATATACATACCCACAGGAAAAAAAATCTCTTTCATCTGAATTATTCTTAAGTAATCAAAGATGACGTGGAAAAAATCGGGGGTTTACAAAAACGTAATACACTTAGACAGTTTAAGAAGGCTTTGAGGGATTTAGCTTATTAAATGGAACTATGGAAAGCAGTAGACTTGATTTGAATGAGTTTCCAGAGTAAAAGATATAATGACTCCATATATCCATTCCATAATACTGGCTGTGTAATTGCTGTGTAAATGCAAATAAAAGGATACCTATGAATATAAATGTCTTTTTTGTTATTACAATAGATTGTCTTTACTGTCCCAAGATGAGATTTTTTATTTTTTTTTCCATTTGCACTTAAATATGTCTAACAGAAGAAAAAAACATGCACAAGACCAAAACACATAATGCTGATGTATGATAGACTCATATCTATGCTTCTAAACCTATACAGATAAAAACGTACACAAATCTGTGCCACAAAAGTGGTATTTTATTTAAGACTGCTATGACAAAGAGTAAGAAACTCCTACCAAAGCAGGTCGGAGGGCCAATGAGCTTTAAGGCAGTGAGCCTGATGCTGTCTTTGTTGGATATAGCATAGTGAAAAAAAGACAGAGAATAAGCTCACATGGCAGAGAATTTAGCATAGCAACACTTTTTAAGAGGATATACAAAATATAAAGTATGTGTGTATCAGTGCTCATATTTGATGTGTCCTGAGGCCTTAAAATAGTAAACACTCTGCCCACTGCTCTGTCATGCACACAATAGCATGCTGGGGCAAAAAGACAAGCAGGCAAATATAGGAACTCTGTGTTCCAGAAAGCCAAAGGGAAAATCTTACGTCACACACAAACACACACAGCTGTCCAGTCCTTGTTTAACTGTTAAGGGTTTGCTTAAGGATGTGTATGATATGAAGACCTAAGACCTGCAGTGTTCAGTCTGGTCTGACAATCTGCCACTGCCAAACTGCAGTACTTGATGAAGGCAGTGTAAGGAGAAGAGAACCTGGACAGTTGTAACAGGGAGTGAATTTATTGGGCTACATTAAACGTGTCCTTTGACAGCCCAAGCTTTTCAATATTAGGATCAGTGGGACTCCAGCTGCAGGTGAGCTTTCTGTAATCTGCAATTGCTACTCCAGAGCACAACCATCTGCTACTGCTCCAAAAAAATAAAAAACAACGAAGGCCAGACTCTAAAAATACACACTAAAGTCACGCACCATCAACAAAACAACTAGCTTTTCTCTGAAGTACTATAACTGAAATAGAGCTAAGAATAGTATCACAACAACAGCCTAAACTGAAGTTGTACCTGTATGTCAGTACTGTCATTAATTAGCCTTTTTTTCTGTTCATGTGAACGCATAGATTTTGTGTAAACAAAGAACACAGGACTTTAAGGACTGCCAAGTTTCTCCTTGGCTCAGTGTTTCAGCTCACAAGACCGTGTAAAATATTCAACATGACAGATTGGAAAGTGGGGCGACAGACACTAATAAAGTTGCCCAAATTAGAAGATACTCCATATTGCAATGAAACATTGATTAAGGAAGCTATTCAAAATTCAAATTGAATAAAAAGAGACAGTCCTGTCCTGAGGGATTTGGTGGGAAAAGCAATGATAAAGTCATCAGTGCTGAAGAAGACAGCAGCCTGAAGGAATATCCAATACAGGCAGATGGTAAGAGCTAGATTTGACAATGGGCACAGATATTTTCTTCACACATTCACAAACTTACTGACTCAAGAATTCAGCGTGTTAATATTTTAGCAGAAAAATCCACTCTGATGCTTACAATGACAATTATTGTCTTTATTAAGTATGCTCCCCTTTTCTTTCTTGCTTAAACTAATAGTCATTTGGCAATTAATTTTCAGTCTGTGAGTTACTCCATTCATTGGCTAATCACTTGAGCTCTAATCTAGTCTTTGTTTTGGAGGTTATGGTGTATTGATATCCGATACTGAACATGATATATACAATACAAAATATACAGCACCATGTCATTTTATGCTACAATTCAATATCTAACTGTGCTCTAACTACAGCATTTTCAGCCCATACAAATTTGTTGTATTCAACATTTCCAAGACAGTCTTCCAAACCTCTGTATTCAAACCCAGCAATGGACGAATTTATCAGCTAACTTACTAAATGTGCACCAATTTTGACAGAGAAATGTTCGTATCCACCTGCCTACAAGCAAAAATTATACAGATACACATGCCCAAGCCATGCCATTGGTCCAGCGTCTGGCTATATTTAGCCCTAGTTCACTCAGCTACCCTAAGTGGTCTTGTTGTGAGAAAAGACTGCCTCAGCCCTGACACAGAACACCATTTTCCACTTCTCTCCTCTCAGCAACTAAAAGAGAGGACAAGCAACTAGAACCTGCTAAATTAAACCTAATTAGGTAAAACACAGGGGAAAATCCTCTCAGCTCTTAAAATGCTCTGCAAACATTTTGTATGACACAGCAGCAACAAGTTGTGTGTCCCAGCCCCCTCCCACCACCACCTCTTTGGCAGTGTGGAAAGGGCTCAGCGAGCGCTGTTGTGGGTGGAAGTTCACTGGCATGTCTGTGTTGGCGGCTGCATCCGGAAAAGTGACTCAACGTTGTGGTCAGGGTAACCACACCTATTCTCCACGGCTGTCCCGTCCCTAAGCCTCAAGGAACAAACATGCCTGGATGCACTCTTCTAAGTTGCACAGTCTTTCAGTTTCAGTTTTTTGAGAAAAGGTACAAAGGTGCACTAAACAAGCACAAGCGAAAATGAACTGGAATATAATGCAGATGTAAGTGGAAAAGATTAGTTTAGGGCAGGGGTGGGCAATCCTGGTCCTCAAGGGCCACAATCCTGCATGTTTTAGATGTTTCTCTCTTCCAACACACGTGATTCAAATGATCAGCTCATCATCAAGCTCTGCAGAAGCCTGATAGCAATCCTGATCATTTCAATCAGGTGTGTTGGAAGAGGGAAGCATCTAAAACATGCAGGATTGCGGCCCTCGAGGACCAGGATTGCCCACCCCTGCGTCATTCATTTTGGCTGCTCTTGAGGGAAAAAATGTTGTGTTTTTTTTTTTTACCTTGTTCCCAGTAAAATAATGTATTAATCTCTAAACTGAAGAAGTCTCCTGCTGTCTCATAATGAAGCCACACACATGCATGTGCAGCCTGCAGTTGCCAATACAGTCGATCAACACAAGCACTGGAAACCACATGCGCTGCACACCACTCAAAATTCAATAATTTATAGTCTTGTCAACGAAAGAGCTTCAGTGGTCGTGTTTTAATCTAATGTCATGAGCAAAATGTCAAAGGCCTACTTTAATCTCAAGCATTTCTATTATCTGGGTATCTGTTTTGTATTACACTACCCTGTACATTTTAAAATAAACTTGTGAAGGATAAAATATGTGCCAAGCTTTGATAATGAGGTTGGTCTCAAAGGGGGAAAGGTCAGTGATTCATTGTTTGTCACATAGATAGAGTCAAGTTTCATCTGACAAGAAATATACAATTTGTCTTTTACACACCACTAACCCAAGTTATGAAATCTCCTCTTTGTCCATATGCAAAGACTGGAACTTTTTCTAACATTTGGAAAATACACCATACATACAAAATACCAAAGATCACTTGTGTGACATGCGATTTCTTTCCCTTGGTGTGTGAGCAGAAATGAAGGCAAAGTAGTCAGGCCATTTCACCTTTTGTCCATCGGCCTCAATGTGTTTGATGCACGGAAATGCAAACAAAGCCAGGCGCCATTGGCAAGAGGTTAACACTGGAGAAGTATAATAGCTAGCCTACATGTGTGCTGCCTCTTAAAAGGAGTCGCTCTGCACTACACTGCCTTTGGGCACTGGTTCTGTAACCATACATTCGGATGTAACAGGATTGTCTGACCAAAATAACCCGAAAAACACCTTCCTATGGACAATTATATTTTTTCCTCATCTTGAATTCTGTGATGGTCCTCATCATACAACTGCCTATTTTTGCAGTTTCAGAACCAAACATCGTGCTACTTCACACATTCCCACACGTCTGGTCCACTTATTCAAGAGTAGCTGGAACTTGTGCACCTACAAATGCTCACCGCTCCGTTACTTGGGTGATGAATTGACGGTGCCACTTGTGCCAAGCTGTGAGTAAATCACCACATACCACACACACTCAGCGAATAAAAACAAACCGAGGCGTTCAGAAAATCAGCAGCTACTTTTACACTCACCAAATTTGAAGAGAGACAGAAAAGACAGAGAAAAATCAACTTTTAGTGAGTATTTAGTAAACATCCACCAACTCCAACTGAAGCAGCAACGGTCCGGGACGCTAACGACGAACTGTAAACAACAACAACAAAAAGGTAACTTACCGTTGACCCCAAACACTAGACAAGCGGTGAAAAGTTGCAGCCAGAGGAGGAAAAGCGTCTGCTTCTTCATAGCGGCTGTTTTTATCGGTCGGTAACAGTCAGTATTCGTTTGGTTCGGAGGACTATGGTTCGGTTGGAGATCAGCGGAGATGTGCTCGGCAGTGCTGCGGTGGCTCGAGCTCGTTGTGCGGCTCTGAACTCCCAGGCAGCAGGCGGAGAGACGGAGCACGTGCGCCTAAGCTCTTAGCCAATCACAGCCTGGCATTTAATTGTAACTCCGCCCCCTCCGTCACTCGGTTGTGAAAAAAACAACCTGTCACTGAGGGCAGTAACTTAGCTCGGAAATACAAGAAGCTCGTCTGGTTAATGCGCTGCATTAAGTACAATAACTTGATTAAGATCTGCAGTATTAAACCCCTGAGAGCTAAATAATTGCTCCATCACGTTGGCAATTACAGTGACATATAACCAAAGGCCCAGTGTACTGTTTCCATGGGTTTTACTTCAAGCAGAGTTCACATTCTGGTAATAGCAATGTATAAACTGTCAAAATAAAAACAAAAATATAAACACAACCAGCAAATGGTCTGTGCACAAAAACTGTTAAGCTGGTGTCAAACTCTCAACCACTGAGTTAATCCACACCCTAGACAGGTGTAGCTTTAAATGATAATGATCAGATAACCAGTTCACAGACACCTCTTTGATCAGTGATTATGAAATGCCACCTTAAAATGCAGGGTTTTTTTTTTTTTTTTCAAATGTCAGATGCCACAATGGCATGAGAGAGATGAGGACAAACTGTTGGCCTGCTGGATGCTGGCATGTCAGTTAGCAACGCACTTGAAGTCCCACACCTTCACCATTTGTCATCTAAAAAAACATTTCAGGCAGCATGGTAGAACAGGCAATCTACCACATGATGCTCTGGATAAAAAACACTCTGGTATAAACACTCTGGATAAAAACTAGATAACATTTAATTAAAAATAATCAAATCTTGCATGTAAATAGGGCTATATAGCAAGTTTCAGTTCATGCTTTAGTTGTTTACCTACACCTTTGCTATTTTTGCTCTCTCTCCATGTTTTCACAGGTCATTGAGCAGCAGGCAGCTTTTTCCAGTTAAAAAAATAAACAAGCAAACAAAAAAGCCCTGTTATATATATACAGGCAGCTAAAGAGCAAGAAATGTTTGAGACCCAAAACAGAGTTAAAAGAAAGATCATTTACATTCATCAGGTGGACTCAAAGCAGCTCCAAATGAATTATAAAATATCCTGCTTCCAGTTGGACAAACAAAATAGTTAATGTTAGCCTATGGTATGTGAAGCATCTACACAAAGCCAGTGGACAAATTTAACTAAGTACCTCCCCCACTATGTCTTCCTCTAATAATCGATACACATTTTTCTTGCTAAAGTTCCTGTTTCCTGTCAGACGGCAACTACCTCAGGCCCTCAGAGTCTAAACCATCCAAAAACACAGATTTAGTAACAATTAACAGTATGTATTTTATTACTTGTAAATGATATCCGATTTCTTACCATTATATGAATACAGATTCTATTAAAAATGCCAGAATAATATGGCTGAAATAACAGTGACATGAGTACAATCATTAAACAGCAGTTTGAATCACATGTGACATACATCAAGTTAGTTTTATTCAAAATTTTCCGTACACTGAAACATAGTCCTAAAGAATGTAAAGGGATAAATCTGCCTTCTGTTAAGGCACTGTTTGCATGTGCTTTTTTCTTCTTAACAGGTTAGTTACACCAATTAAGCTTTAGTCCATAATGTCTCTTCTTGATTGAGCCTGGTAGATGCATGGTTTGCCTACTGTTAAGATGCTCTGGGAAAATCCCCATGATAGCACCATGCATGAAATCCTCCTCTGAAATGCAGATTAAGGCCAACATTTTATTGTATAAAGCCAAATGTTCTTCTGTGGGCGTTTCCTGAACTGAGATCCAGCAGTGGGTCAAAGAGGATTTTGTTGTTGTCAGAGGGAGTGGGTGTGAGGCAAGGAATTGTTTCTAATGGGCGTGAGTCTGACAGCAATGTCCAAGAGTGTCAGAACCTTTCAACTCTGAATCTTTCACCTCACTTCTCTTGCATGGATGAATACAATTTATTTGTGGTTTTCCATCCAGCTCCAAATTTGGGAGACAAATACAAACTAAATATAACAACAGTTACATGACTGTAAACTTTGGAGGATACAATAGTTACATAAATGCCTGAAGAGAATCTTTCTGGCTCCTATCTTTACATTACCTTCCCTTCAGCATACAATGGAACGCATTCAACGATAACAGCAGCAATATTCACAGATAAATTCTACACACTTTGATTGTCAGTGTAAAACATACCCTCCTGTAGCCTAGTAACAAGCCAAAGTGATTTAAATGCAGCTTAATGTGATCTCACACTTGGTGACTTGCACAAGACAGCTGTAATGCTGTATGTTTTATCTACTATTTTCATCCTATCTCCATGCTGGGTTCATATCCCTCCTTTCATGTATGTTTAGATAAAATACAGTTTAAAATGTTGTGATGGATCAGACCTAAAGCAGTACTGTGTGAAAGCTATAGCTCTTCCTCTCACATGCAGAGAAAATACTCCTAAGATGACCTTTTCACATCAAAGCTCAATCTCAAGCTATATGGAGCAATACCAAGCTCCTCCTACATTTACACTCATTAGTTTGATGGGCAGTAAGTGAAGCAGGGTGAACATGCTGTACTGTGGGAAGTAAAGAACTCACTGATATGACTTGTACTTGATGAGAAGCATGAAAAAGAAATAAAAGTGCATGTCCCTCTTTTGGAGTTGGAAAAAAATATATTGATTTTTGTCGTTGAAAGTGAATGCAGATGCAAATTGAGAAGGTTTTTAGGTCATTTTTATCAAGGCAAACTAAAGACAAGCTGGAAACCTTAAAATAGCACCTCTTCTGTTAGTGAGTGAGTGACAAAAATGCATGAAAATGCGACAACGCTATTGCAGACATAAAGATCGTCACCATTTTCCTCTACAAAAAAAAGATTGGCAGTAATCTGTGAGACAGTGCCTTATCTTGTACATTAATGAACCCATAAGTACAGATCAGACTGTTTGACATTTAACAGTGGTCAAATGTGGTGAGAATCCACAATGGCAGAATTCTCTGATGGTCTTCAATCAGACAAAGCCTCTTCTCATGACCTTTGCTAAGTCTAAGCCAGCCGATGAGGATAATTATCACAAGATGATGGTTAAATGGAACTCCAATGAGACACCAGTCTGTTTGATCCTAATCCTCAACACGGAGTGAGGCATAATCCTGTAAACTCAAATCTTGAGGACATACAGTACTCTTGAAGAGGAATGTGATCCAAGAAATATGCCATAGAATTCATTAATGTAGAAGTGGTGGGTATCAGTGAAGTTTCACTTCTTTCTCCCACACAGAAACAAGATTAATCGACTCAGCCCACTTGCATTTCTGTCTCCCATCTAGAAACACAAATGAGATTCATACTTATAGGCAGCACCAAAACTAAAGAAGTGAAAATGATTGAAAATTCAAGTGCACACTGTTCATTTTGACATTCATAGTTAGTGCAGCTGTTTCACTCAGAAAGTTCAATAGGATTGGGCCTAGGGGGATCTTTCTAGTTTATCAGGGACTGAGTAAAACATACAGTATAGGTCCACCAATAATTACAGAAAATATAGCTGAATGAATTCTAATTGTGCATTTGTATCTCTGAGCAGCGTTTTTCTTTCAGCTTATAGTATCTCAAAATAAATATTCACTTAAAGTAAATGTTGAGTTTCTGTGGCTTGTGGCTTAACATGGAAAACATTAAAAAAATGTTGGTGGTTTGACATTTGTGGGGTGAACAGCTATGAAACCATGTGATGACTACATGTTCCAGATATGTTGAAATATTTACTTTGAATGTTATATTTTCTCATAAAAAATATAATTATGCCATAAAAGAATTATAATAAACCCACAATCACTACAGAATCATTCTATACACACACAAAAAGCATGATTGGGTCACTATAAAGGCACAGTATGTCCCATGAATGGATGGCGCCCCCCAGTGGTAAAAATGATAAATGCAAGAACCTGACTGATCACTGGAAACTGAAGTGACATAATTATTGCTCTAATTTCACTTCATAAGAATTTAACCTGTTTTTGTTTGTTTGTTTGTTTGGTTTGGTTTTTGGGTTTTTTGGTTTGTTTGTTTTTTTGTCGCCTAACATAAAAAAAAAAAAAGTCTCCATACCTCGGTATATCTGTGTCTATTATAGCTGTTGTGGCACCATACACACTCCTGCCACTTCAGCGCTACATTCACACTTAGCTGCAAGTTAGTTAGGTAGACCTAGCTGAAAGTAGTGCAGCATAATGCAACAGTCTTCCAATAAATCCATCTTCATGAAGATTACAGTGTGTTTTGAGCAGCTTAGTATTTTTAAGTTTATAAGTGATCCTTATTTTCTTAAATATTGTAGGCGTTGAATATTACTGTACTTTCTGTTGAGTCGTCTACGTGGTATTTGTGACCTCAGTGCTCTCCGGTAAGACCTGACCAGTGGCACCAGGCGGATAGTTACAGTAAATTAAGCTGTGGTTTCTGTTAAGGAGGAAGTAAGCTACACCGCTGTTTGTTGTGCTGCCTTAAGGTACCACCGGATAGGTTGGGTTTAAAGGCAGGAAGACAGCGACTATGGCACCGGAAAGTAGCTAATTCCGTGAAATGTAAATTCTAAATTAACCATTACTTATTTGTTGGTGAACGTATAGCTCCGAGGTCACGCAAAGAATCAGCAAAATGTCGTTTTTTGAGGGAGGTTGTATTTAGAATTCAGATTGTAGAAACTCGGAGCTCCGTGACAGCGCTTGAACGCGTCGTGAGTTCGCCGCTGGTCAGTCAGCCTCTGTGCGGTAAACAGACGGTGTTCAGAGACGGAGCTCAACTCCGGGTGGAACCAACCAGAACCCGGTCAGAGTCCAAAACCACCATGGTAAGAAAACAAATGTCCCCTGTACACTTAAAAAAAATGTTAGTTACTTTTCTTGTCTATGTTGTATAACTTCGGACTTCTGCCGCAACAGTTGTACCTGAGTGACTAAACAAAAGGGAACAAGAAACTGACTCACTTGTTGGGGCTAATTTAAGCTAACTGAAGGAGAGCCGACAATTTGTTCTTTTTTGTCCTGTTCTAGTTTTGTCGTTGAAAACTGACACGCTTTTATGTTAATGTAGTCTTTTGTTTGCGTAATGCAGTAAGAAGTTGCCCAAATTGTTCACTGTGTGTTTCCAGCTCTGAGGGAGCATCACTGTATTTTCTTCAAACGCAGACAGCAAGGTGAGTCAACACTGTGGGAGTGAACAAAAGACATCGCTAATACTTTTAGTAAAGTTTCCAGAGGTTGTTTTTCACTGTGAGCTGGACATTAACAGGGTCGGTAATTTGAACCTTCGTATAATTTTCAAGAGCCCATTTTGAGATTCAAACTAGTCTATTTTGGTATTTTTCCTGGGTGAGTTGCTCCGCAAACAGAGTAAGTGCAGCTAAGGAAGGTAGCTCCCCAAATATTTATGTTGGTAACTGAACTCATGCAATTGATTTCGTAATAGCAGTCATGTTCATAAGTGCTTCCCATTCTTAGTTTTGAAGTCAGTGAGCGTTTGCTCCTGACTCATAGCAGCCAAATGACTTTACGATTGAATTTGAAAGCAATGAGTACAGCTCCTTCTCTCCATTGCTTTGTTTCCGTCATAAGTTATAGCACCCTTTCACCTTGTGATAACTTAACAGCCAGAGATAAATACAGTTTTACAGATGATTTTATGTTTTTTTTCTGGCAGAAACACTTCTGTTACAACAAGACTGGTCAATAGCAAATGTTTATGTAATCAAAGGTTCAATGGGCTGACAGATTTCTGTTTTTATTAGTCAATTCTCTGTCTCTAGAAATTAGAGATGTATAAGAATAATTCTGCCTCCTGTAGACTCCTTACTTATGTAGCTTTCCTGACTCTTTGGGCTCACAGCAGGTCTTCTCATATATTTACAATGACCACCCTCGAAGACAGTGATATGCACACCTTTGGCCCAGAGCTGCCGGCCATGTTCGACGGCATGAAGCTGGCAGCAGTGGCCACCGTCCTCTACATCATCGTCCGCTGTCTGAACCTCAAGAGTACTACTGCACCACCAGAGATCTTCTACCAGGACACACCGCTCAGCCACTACCTGTTCAAATCCTGCCCAATGCTGACCAAAGAGTGAGAGTTTTTAATATTATCTAGTCTGAGTTTTAAAGATACGTGACGCAGCTTGGATTGCAATACTGATAACCTGAATTTGATCTTATACCTGTGACTTTCTCAGGTTCCACATATTTACAGTGTAAGCGACAGCCGTTTGTCTTATCATCTGGTTTATAATGAGCCTCAAGAAGATTTTTAACTTACAGCACTAATGGAATGTTTGAGGAGTGATTGTAAATTCAGCTTGAATTGGTTTCTCAGATGTAGAAAATTGCTGAATGTAGTCTTGATCCTGATGATTCAGAAACATGATGTTTTTCTAGGGGAATGTCAGAAGGATCCAGTAAGTATGCATCTAGTCCACCAGTGCTGTCATATTGCAAAAATCACTCTCAGTTTAAGAGTAGCGATATTCTAGGAATTGTTCTTCCTGAGCAAAACCTGGTGCCTATATTACCCACAGTTTAACCAGACATTCGGGTGTGTTATGGTAGCAGCAGTTAAAGTAGCCTCAAGTCACTAGCCTCAAGACCTGCACAGGTCTGGCAAAACACATTCAGATTTATTTCAAACAAGTTTCTACTCTGCAGCGATTTTCTTTTTGATTTGAACATTCTGTTTACAGAGTGGGAGTATCTGTGGACATTTTGTTTATCTACTCTGCAGTATGTTTAATGAAGACAATAAAAAGTTCGTGCTAATGACCAGTTCCTTCTGGTGAAAACATCACTTATTTTTCAACATGGATGAGCGGTACATTTACTTAGACACCTATGCTTTGAATTTAAAGTTATGCCAAATATTTTGGGCTGTAGATCCACTCATTTATGACACATTTACATCTCTATGCAAATTGGGTGCCACTCAGGTGTTATGTAATTTGTTGGCATGAAATCAGCTACAAATAAGCTACACAAATACTTCTGTAGCTCAGAGGTCAATACCATCTGCCGCTGCCTATGGTTAGAGTGATATGTTCATCTGTCTGTGGGCTGATAATCTTTGCTAAGACTCTTCTGAACATCTTCAGGGTAGAGGTTACAGGTCAGTTATATAATATGGAGCTTGTCCTTCTCCTCAGATACATTCCTCCCTTGCTATGGGGGAAGAGCGGACATCTCCAAACGGCCCTGTATGGCAAGATGGGACGTGTCAACACTCCTACACCCTGTGGGGTTCGCAAGTTCCTCCCAATGCAGGACGGGGCCACAGCGACCTTTGACCTCTTCGAAGCTCTTGGAGACCACAGCGCAGGAGGTCAGAGGCGAATACTGTGCTGTCTCTATTAATGCACTAAAGCAGATGACTTTGAACACGCAACAAAAGAACTGTTATTTTACTTAAAAAGCTTACTGATTGTTGTTTTTATTTTCATGTCTTTCCTCCTGAGTTTTATGTGCTTGTTTGGATTATGAGTGTGTCAGCCTCGAAGCAACTCATACTACAGTATTCACAAGCAGGAAGAACTCTAATGAACTCCCTCGAGGGAAGATGCCATGCATTTCAGTAGCCAATTAAATCAGCACACAAACAAACACACGCACATGACATCCACTTTTACGCCCACTCATGACTCCACTTTATATGTTCCCTCTTCTGTGTCTGTGTGTATATGTCAGATGACATTACCATGGTAATCTGCCCTGGGATCGGTAACCATAGTGAGAAGAACTACATTCGGACCTTTGTGGATTACTCCCAGCGGCAGGGTTACCGCTGTGCCGTCCTCAACCACCTGGGAGCCCTGCCTAACATGGAGCTCACCTCGCCGCGCATGTTCACCTACGGTAAAGAGGGAGTATGACATTGTGGTCGAAGACTCAGATATAAGATTATCTGATTTTGTACATTTTTAGAAATGCTTCATTAAATTGATGACATAAGAACCAAGTGTTTTTAAAGAAACATCACGTGGCCAAACAGCACCTTTGGTAGTGTGTCATCATGTGAAGTTTGAAACATTTGGTAAATCTAATCTGAAAAGCGTAATCTCATCATTATCAAGTATATACATCACTGCTCTACATTGCTAAATGTTCCCTTTTAAATTCAGGTTGTACCTGGGAGTTTGCGGCCATGGTGGGCTACATCAAACGGGCTTGTCCCCAGACGCTGCTGGTGGTTGTCGGCCTCAGTCTGGGAGGAAACATTGTCTGTAAGTTCCTGGGTGAAAACCAATCAAATCAGGAACGAGTGCTGTGCTGTGTCAGCGTCTGCCAGGGTTACAGCGCCCTCAGGTTCGTAGACCAAACAAACAAATGAATAGTACTAAAACTGGGATTTTAGTTTCAGCATCATCTCAAAAGCAGTTGGCTTATAAAATATGCAGTATATGTTATCATAGAAATGGACCCCTCTTTCAACCCATATTGTCTTAACTGTTGTTGGATGATTTTCCTTCTTTCCTGTAGTTTTGTGTGTGCGTGCATTTACGTGTTTATGTGTGTTTAGGGCCCAGGAAACATTCCTTCAGTGGGACCAGTGTCGGAGGCTCTACAACTTTGTGTTGGCGGACAACATGAAGAAGATCATCCTGTCACACAGGTAGAGAAAAAACATTTTCTACTGTTAAAGATGAAGAGTTACAAATGTGTAATTCCCTTCAGGTTTATGACACTGCCTTTTATGAAAAACAAGTTGCAGCATTGCTTTATTCTGCTCCAGGTCAGAAAATAACATGCTGAGATCTTGTTTTCTTGAACCTTCTGAACCCCAAAACACACCAGTGGGTTTTATGTTCAAAAAAATGCTAAAATGACATCTGTGATGGACCATTTCATTGGAAAACCTAACCAAATGTACACTTAAAATCATGATAGTTCATCAAAATAACTTCATTCTAGATGCCTCATTTAAATTTACCATAAAATGAAATTGTGTAAAGGTTGTGTAAAAAAACAAACAAAAAAAGTTATTTCTTAACACCTACAGAGACACTGAATGTTTTTATTTTTTCAATTTTTGTAAAATTGAAAGAAGTTGGAAGAAATTCAACTTTGTTTTTTTCTTTTCTTTTTTATGATTTATGACATTATATCTTGACGTGACAGGATTAACAGAAAAAGCCAAGAAATTACTTCGAGCTCAGAAGATCAAGATACATTGACTTGTTTTTTGTGAACTGCTGAAATCGATAGGATCCAACATTATATCAATTGTCTGAGAAACAGGAAATCATTCTTAGATGTAAGAGTAATTATGGGGGAAAAAATGTCCAAATGTCTTAATTCTTATCCACAATTTATTTTTCTGCTACTTTTATGGAAAGTCTGAAAGAATCTGAGGAGTGGAATGGCTTACTGGCCAAACAAAGATTAAGCTTTGTGCCCTGATTTGTCTAAATGTTTTGTTCAACAGAGACAGTCTGTTGGGCATGAACTCCAGCAACATTGGTGATGCAGACTTAAACAGACTGTATGCAGCTACTTCCCTGATGCAGATTGATGACAGCATTATGAGGTAAAGTATTCTTGGAGTATGAATTTGAGTGAACTGAAGCAGGCTGCTCCAAAATCCACAGCTCGTATCTCTGTCACTGACATTACTACATGATTTTTACTGCAGAAAATTCCATGGCCATGACTCGTTGAGAGAGTACTATGAGAAGGAGAGCTGTGTGCACTACATCCATAAAGTGAGTGATAAGTATCTGTCCAACACACTCCTATTTAACAAGAATACCTCCGTTTACTACTGCTGTAGTTATTTTCAATTCAGTACAGATCAGAGACAATAAACTCCAGATTCTGAGACACCCACAGAGAGAACAAATACAGGACCTCTGGGAAACACTGAGTTAGTGACATGTAATGGTGGTATATAAATGCATGGGAGAGACAGAGAGGAGAGAAGAGGATGGAAGCCCAGCGCAACATGAGAATCTCCCAGTAGTCTAAACCTATAGCATGATAGCAAAGGGACAGCTCAAGTGATCCTGAGTAGCCCTAACTATAAGCTTTATCAAAGAGGAATGTTTTAAGCCTTAAAAGTAGAGAGGGTGTCTCCCTCCTGGACCCACAAGTAAACCTGCAGCCTTGGTCGTTATTGGTTTTATATGTGAGAAGCAGGGTTTTAAAGTCTTTTCTGAATTTTACAGGGAGCCAATGAAGACAAGCTAATACAGGATAAATATGATCTCTTTTACTGGTTCTTGTCAGAACTCCGGCTGCAGCATTTCTTATTCACTGGAGGTTTTTAACCAAATTCCCAATAATAAGGAATTACAATAGTCCACCCTAGAAATTACAAATGCATGGACTAGTTTTTCTGCATCGCATTGAAACAATATGTTCCTGATTTTGATGATATTACACAAATGAAAGAAGGCCATCATATAGATATGCTTTATGTGTTGAAGGACATATCCTGGTCAAAAAAAACTCCAAGGTTCTTTATAGTAGAACTGGAGGCCAAGGCAATGTCATCCAGAATAACTATCTGGTTAGATAGGGTGTTTCTGAGGTACTTAGGGCCAAATATAATGACCTCAGTTTTGCCTGAACTTGTTATAAATAAAATTGCAAATCGTCCAGGTCTTTATGTCCTTCAGACATGCCTGGAGTTTGACTAGCTGACTGGTTTCATTTGGCTTCATAGATAAATATACCTGAGTATCATCTGCAAAACAATGTAAAATTATGCAGTGTTTCCTAATAATACTGCCTAAATTGATCATGTACAAAGTAAATAGAATTGGTCCTAACACAGAACCCTGTGGAACTCCATAACTAACTCTGGTATGAGTAGAAGAATTATTATGAACATTAACAAACTAGAACCTGCCTGATAAATATGATTTAAAATAACTATTTATATTTTGATTTTTACTGCTAATACTACTAATAAAATGCGTTCTTACTATTACTACGATATGACCACTGCTATGACTGCTGCTGCTGTTACTACTGCAACGTTTGTTGGTGACACAGTTTGAAGTGCTTGGATCAAACCTGCACAATAAGTTTGTGAATCAGCGCTACTGCTGTTACCACTGTAGCTGCTCTTAACAGTGTTGTAGTGTAAAACTAGGTTTTCTACAGCAGTTTAGAAATAAACTGTCTTGTCTCCAGGTCACTGTACCCCTCCTCCTGGTAAACTCCTCAGATGACCCGCTAGTTCATCAGTCGCTGCTGGCTATTCCACGCACACTTGCAGGTTTGTGGTTCTTGCCAAAATCCATTATTACAATCAGTGGAAGTCCTTTATAACTAATTACCAATATTGAGGATATTACTCATCAGCCCATATATTGCACAGGTGATGATGTAGAGTTTGCAGCTTTGTATAGATATTATCAAATATGTCATGTGCGCTTGCAGAACAGTTGCTAAGAGGATCTAACACGTCATATGGTTTTTGTTTGTCCATATTTTGCATGTTTCCTAGAGAGCGATGACTTAAACAATGAAACAGTGTCCTTTCAGGGGCACTAACTCAGAATAGTGTGGCATGAATTAACCTGTTATCCTTCCTCAGGAGCTGGACACTGGAGACACTGGCTTAAGTGTTGATAAAGTCTTGTCGCAGCTATCTGCTTAACACCACCCAGCCCAGACAGTCTTGTTGAATTTTTCAGGGCCATGTGATCTGCCTGGCCTGCTGGATTATATATATAGAGCAGTGTGTGTGTGCATATACATGTGTGTGTGAATGTGTTTCTGGTCACAGCCTGCTGCCCTGTCTTGCCTCAGTAGTTCATGTGCAATTGCCCTATGTGTGTAAATCGGTGTATGTAATGACATAGATCTTGACAAGTGATATTCTAAACTTCCCCCTACTTCAAGGAAACACCTAGAGTTACACTTTAACTTTCAGTTTTTTCCTTCTTACTCACCGCCAGTCAGCTGTAGTTACTGATTAAAAAGCTTTTCACAAATTGTGAGGGCGACTGAAACTGTTTGATCATTGGCATTTTGATTTTTGTGTGTTTTTTTTTTCAACTGAATTAGACAGTTTTTCAGACAGCTTTCTTGATTGACCGCTTGCCCAAAGGAGACTTATTCCAAACCTAGTGGACAAAAAATGTGTGTCTTAATTCTTGAAAATGAGTTTTTATGGGAATAGATTTTGGAGATCTAGTCAGTATTCTACACAAGACTTGAGGTGGAGACACACCCAAAATGTGTTAGGTTGGAGATAGATTGTAGGTGGTGTAGAGTAGCAAGAACGGAAAGGATGGTGGTGTATTTCTGTGCAGAAACAGAATGTCTTGACTGCTGATCTCACAGTCTATCACTGAGCCATTTAAATGATACCACTACCTTTAAAGCAGGGTAGCTTAATTATCAGGGCACCTTTAATTATGAAACAGCTGGAGATGCTTATCCGGAAAACGAAAGTGGGACAATGAATTTCCAAAGGTTACAAAATTTAAGTACTATAAACATGCAGTCCTGATTAATGAATGAACTTCAACAGCTACACTTAACATGTTTCCTCTGTACAGTCTTTTTTTTTAGCAATCTTGCGTGATGTGGAAATTTGGGGCCACTGTTAGGTGCAATATAGTACCATAATTCAATAATTGCCACTACTGATTTATTCTCGTTGAAGTAAATGACACCAAAATAAATAACCGTGCAAAAAATAGTTATTATATTGCTCAGACAATTGAGAATTAGCACTCAGTTGGAAACTCTGCGGCGCTGCAGGGTGGCGCTGCAGTAGTTAGCACTGTTGCCTCGCAGCAAGAAGGTTGCCGGTTCGCGTCCCAGTAGGGGCACCGGAATCTTTCTGCGTGGAGTTTGCATGTTCTCCCCGTGCAGCGTGGGTTCTCTCCGGGTTCTCCAGCTTCCTCCCACCCAGTCCAAAAACATGTTGAGGTTAATTGGTGATTCTAAATTGTCCGTAGGTGTGAATGTTAGTGTGCTTGGTTGTCTGTCTCTATGTGTAGCCCTGCGATAGACTGGCGACCTGTCCAGGGTGTCCCCTGCCTTCGCCCCAAGTCGATTGGGATAGGTTCCAGCCCCCCCGCGACCCAAGTGAGGATTAAGCGGTGTATAGATAATGGATGGATGGATGGATGGAAACTCTGCACATGTTTTTACTTAATGCTTTGATTTACTTGGTGCACATAGATGTATTTTACTCTAGATGATGTGGTTGAGTCTCTTTGCTCTTCCCAATTCCTCTAATATAGAAGTGTAGGTAGCCAGTTTGTTTTCTAACAAATAGGTTTGTGGAGCCCAATCTAGACCTGCAAGGAGTAAATACTGGACTCAGTTTGTCAGCTAACATGATATACAACACCATGAGGATGCACTGTGTCAGCTGGGTGTGCACATAGGCGGTTGTTTGGTAATTTGATAAGCCTGTACATTGTGTCAGGGTTGTGTTTCCATGAGTGTGTTGTAGTATATTTCTAGATGCAGCTTCAAAGGAGCTGTATGCAGCATTCAGAGCTATCGGATGTCTCCGTAGCATCATCATCATTACAGACCAAAACAAATAGGACACCAGTCACACCTTCCCCCCTCACCTGTGTTTCATTTACAACCAGAGACAACAAAAAGTAATCCAATCACAACTGTTAGCCCACGCTAGCATTACAATACATTGAATGGCCGTAACAAGGTATTGTTAAGTTGTTTAGTGTTATTTTTACTTCACTCGTGTCTCCTCCGCTCCACTCCATCTGCTCTGCTTCAATCTGTGTGTCTGTTTCACAACAAGGCACACATCAGAGGAGACACATGGTGAAACAAACAGACATGACTGGAGTGTTGCACACATAGTGGCACAGAGGAGAGTAGCAAAAGAGCCGTAGAGACTCTCACACCTAACTGAAATACTGAAACTGGTGTACATGTATGTGGTAAATAGCAAAATAAAATATGGTTTTTAGTGTTTAGATTTATAGGGCACCAATTGAAAGCTCTGGACTGGACTTTGTCATTTCCATTGTGGTGTGGGAGGTCACTCACTGTCCGTTTATTCATGTAGATTGGTTAACAGTTTCAAAGGGTGGGACTCACATGGACTAAGAAGCACTAAGATGTGCGTGTGGCCGTAGTGGCTACTAAAATATAGAAGAGAGAAGTTTGGATTACAACACACACTTACAGTGTCACTTCAGTCTCTGCTCAGGACGCCTTTACTCCACTCTGTCTTTACATAGCAGATAGTTGTGTTTTGCTACTTTCATGCTATATATTTGAAATCTGGCATGCTGCAACTTTAAAAAGTCCATCATGAATATTTTCATTAACAGTAGATCAAATGGCAGTGAAAAACATGAAAGGGATCACTTGTAGTAACAAATTCCCAGGTGATTATCATCTGACTCAGTTCCACTCACATCTACAGTTGTTACGGTTTTGGTTTAGTCCTCACTATTCATCAGCAGGCATGTGTTTTCAATGAAAAAGAAAAACAACTCTTAAATCTCACTGTAAAACACCTGACTAACACTACACAGCAGACAGATGACTACAGTGGAGAATATAGCAGCTTAAGAACCACATATTTCCATCAGAGTAATATTAATCAGGTTTTATTTATATTATTTTGGAGCCAGTGTTTCTATTAGGTGCCATGCACTGAGGTAAAATTAGTTGTTTATCTGTCGGCTTACAGATCTAATTGGTGAACTTAAACTTTACCTGCCTTTATTTCTGTCTTCCTCTTTAGAGAAGATGCCCAATGTGATATTTGCCCTGACGCAGCACGGAGGCCACATGGGTTTCTTTGAGGGTGCTGTGCTGTTCCCTCAGCCCCTCACCTGGATGGACAAGGTCATAATTGAATACAGCAACGCCATCTGCCACTGGGAAAAGAAGCGGTCAGTGTGCCAGAAGAGTAGTCGCCAGGACATGAACTCCTGCCTGCAGAGCAAAGGGGGAACACTCAGCGGGTAACACATACATGGTCGCTCAAGACACACAGGCACATGCTCAGTCCACCGGATCTCCTTTACTTCAGCATGAATGGCATTGCAGTTCAGTGATTCTGGCAAATGTAGCTGGATTTGACAGTGCAGGCTGAGTGGAAGTGAGTAAAACAACTTGGAAATGAAAACTTACTGAGTTAATAATATCTGTGCATGTAATGTGACTCCATGCTAAGTTGTTGCTTCCTGTTTTGTTCTCATTTAACTTCTGGCATAACAGTACTTTAAGCCAGTGGTTCTCAAACTGGAGGTCGGGACCCCCGTGGGGGACCCAAGATCATTTCAGGGGGTCGCCAGATCATTGTTAAAAACAAAATAAAATAAAGCCTACATTTATCAAATAAATGTGTATTAGGGCTGTCAGAATTAAAAGTGCATACTTCTTCCCACTCCTTTTTCAGACTTGTTAATATTAGGGTTTGATTATGCAATATTATTATTCTTTTCTGCTCTTTCTTAAATTATTTTTATATTCTTTTTCCCTTTCATTTGTAAGAAATGAATTCAATTCATTCATTCAAAAGAAAATTAACGTGTTAAAGGGATTAATCTGTGGAATTAACTCATTAGTTTTTAAGGCATTAATGCATGGACAACAGGATTATTACTCATGATGTATTAAGAATTCAAATTGGGGGTCAAAAACTTTGTTATCTTGGGGGTCTTGGCTCAAAAAGTTTGAGAACTGCTGCTTTAAGCTATGCTGGTTTTAGGCGACTGCAGCTTTTTTTGTCCGAGCAGCAGGGTATCAGGTTGGCGTACTGCAAAATTTGAGTATGAATATGACCTTTGACCGCTGTCATATTTTTTGGGCACCAATCACTATTGAAAGTTTCGTAGACACTCAATCATACTGATTGAAAAATATGCAGGTATTTATAAGTCAGTCACTTGTTAATTGGCATAATGACCCTTACTTATATTTTGACAATGTTATCTTTTTAAGTTTTAAGTGCCTTAGTATAAATGTGAGTATCAGTTACAGATTTGGGTTTCTGATACTCTGACATGTAACAGTATGGTTTGATTTATGGTTTACGCAAGTTATTTCCTAATGTTATGGTTCAGTATAACATCTATCCTCTTCACTTAACTACCATTTTAATTACCTTAGCATGATGTAAGAAAATGTTACTGCTTATTGCAAAAAAACTCTGGTAAGAACATGAGGCATTATTTTGCTCATTCTGGCACACTCCAGTTTTTCACTTTGCATTTCCATTCTGTGCAGTGGAGCATCAGATGTTTTCTTTTTTAAAAAGAGGTTTTGAATTGTATAAAAAAGACAGAATCATCTATGTTTTATTTAATTGGAATACATGAATGTTACACAAACCAACTTTTAACACTGCACTGCTCAAGGTCAACTTGTACCATTCCATGAACTGTTCCACAGTGCCTTAAAACGTGCAAATGATAATTAGTTACTGCTGTGATGCCTCTTGACATACAATAAAAGGAGTCAGGTGGTTTATTGTACTAAATGCTGCTGTTTACACAAGATATTGCTGCAAAAGATGTCAAGTCTAAAATGCAGGGATATAACAAATGACTGATCACACTGGGTCAAACTGACCCACTTTCGTTTGAAACAAGAGAATACAACTGAAAGATTGTAAAATGAGAAATCCAATTTTGGACTTCTCTTCGAACTCTTCTTGGTCATGATTTGCCCAAAAAGGCCTATGTATTGGCTTTGGTTTGACCACAGTTGAGGTGTCCTATATAACATTAGCTTGAACAGGTACCAACTTGTACATTTTGGGGCTTTGTTTGGTGCTGCTTCTTGCTAGCTATGAGATGCACATAAAACAGTAAATACAGCGTCAGAAGCAGTAAAGCTCTGCGGTGTTTTATGATACTGTGCTTTCCACAAGTAACGTTACTGATAAAGGCCTTAAAATACTACTGACAAAAAAGTGGTGCATTCTATATGCAGAAATTAGTTGTTTTGTTCTGGGCCACTTTAATTCACAAGTTGAAAAGTGTCTGTTGTGCATGTTTGATATTAACCACAGTTTCCTGAGTGTAACATCCTGTCAGACACTGTGAAACTGCCGTGGACTCGACCTCGCCCATGTAGCTTAAAGTCGGCACTGTTTGGATGTCTTAATAATCAACCTTTAAACCATACAACTTCTCTCTCTGCCCTTTAGAAGTAGAATACAACCAGCAGCAGCACCACTACTGCATCTCTATGTGCAATATGTTCTGATTGTTTGTCTGTTTTGCCTACACCTTACTGTGTACTGTTATTTATGATACTGTAACATGCATCAGCATATCGGTGTAACATTTATAATCCAATCATAACGGATTTTGTTCCGGAGCAGTGCACAGCTTTGACTGAATAAATCCTTAATAAATGTTTTCCACAAACATTAATGCATGTTGATTTTTGAACTATTTCTTTTGTTAATTTCTAGATAAACACAAGGACTACAGCTTAGTGTTATATACAGTTTATTGTACATTTATTGACATTCTTATTGGTGCACCAGGTAGCACAGTGGGTAAAACTTCATAATAGTCATTTTGAAGAACAATCTAAAAAAACAAACAAACAAAAAAAACATGACAGACAGGCACTTGTTGGAATATCAGCCTTCAAGAAGACAAAGCTGGGGTCTGCCAGTGTTAAAACAAGCTTTGTGGGTGAAGTCCAGTCCTAACAAAGCACAGTTTATCAGAGGTGAGAGACAGAAAATCTGTTGCTTAAAGCTAGGCAATATTACAACAGTTCAGCATTGTTTCCTCACTGGAATGACATTTAAAAGACTTAAATACATCTCTGTGTTCCGAGAATCATACTAGTGTTTTTGTGTTGTGTGTTCATTCATTACAAATTCTGTATACTTTACAAAAGCACTATTTTCCAAATCATGATTTTTTAGATTAAATACTTTCTGTGGGGCAGCCATAGGCTTATATTTATTTGAGTTTGGCATGAAAATCCACTTGTAAAGAAGCTCTGACAGCTCATGTTTATGAATCAGTGAAAAAAGAACAGCCAGAAAAATAATGTGAATCACTCAAATTTTTAATTTTAGAGCTTTTTTGAATGCGCCAAACAAACCAAAAAAAAAGGAAGGCACTTAAATGTTCACTGTGATGAATTGCTTATTCAAAATAGTTTGAGGACTAAGTTTAATCCATGACTGCTTGTAAGTATTGAACCAGTCTAAAAAGTTTGACTATATGCTTTGAAAAACAAGTATGTGAAGCGTATTTAGTATGTAATTTGTGGTATAAAATATGAAAATCTGCCAGTGTGTCCAGTCCTTTAAAGGTCATCAGTGCTGGAAATGAGGGATTTGAGGTGGAAATATGTCAACTGAATGGCCAATACAGAAAATATACTACTGTAGAGTGACACGATGATTGAAAGTCAGACCGTTTTGTTCCTGTTTGGTTGTTTTACCATGACTTTCATTCATAAGTGTTGTTCCTACAACCACACAGCTACATTGGGCATTAATTCTCCACAGTCTATGGGGTTTGTAATACATAATGGCTCTAAGCCTTGTTGGCAAAGAGATGGAGGCTGTTTAGTCAAACAGCTTGGCTGCTGTGGCCTTGCCATCATATTTGGAACCTTTTCCGTCAAACTCAGAAGGAAGGATGTCAGCGTCAAACTCCTTGTAATAGTTCTCCAGCTCGTCTCCATGGACAAACACCTAGAGCAAGAACAGAAGCGTTTAGATGCATTTGGGCCTTTCTTTGGCACCCAACTATCTACAATGAGTCATGATTTAATTTATTGGCTATTGACAGCACCCTGAGGTGGGGAGTTTATAAACTCACCGATACACAGAGAAATCATCTGAAACTCTTAATGCTATAAAACAGCATAAAATCAGTTTTTATGGACATTTGGGGGTTTACGGGTGTTTGATTTCAAATCATAGTCAGCTCTGCTGATCAGGAAACACAAGCATGAAATCAACATCACCATTTATTCAAAAGCACTGTCAAATAAACAAAAAGACAGCCCATTATTCAATGAATACACTGTTGAGAAGTGAACAACTAAATTATCTTAGAGTCTGTTTTTGCTTCTTTTTCCTAGAATGCTTCATGTCAAACCAGGTCATATCACATGCATTTTTATCAATTTTGTTATCAAAGTCCTTCATTGAAACCAAAATAAGGGAGGTTTTGTCTCTGTTTTGGCTGCTTCCTGTAACATGATTTTATCTCTCAGAGGCTCAGAGGCAGCAGTAGTCCCTGTGTTCCTGTTAAATCTGCCCACAACGTACCTCTAGAAGATCTGACACCAGACTACAGTCACTCTCACTCAAATGTCATGGATCTGGTAAATCACTGAACTCACTCTCTCTAGCAGCTTGCTCTTCATAAGTGGTTTGACCACATTGTAGGTGGTGGTGAAGTACCAGGGCTGGTGGATAAAGTGCACAGCTTTGAAACGGGCAGGGAATGAGTCCTGGTGAGACAGAAAGAGCAGAACGCTTTGGTGAATGCTCAAAATTTAAAAAACAAAAAAAACAATTCCAACGCTTATAACAGGTACTTGACATGTACCATACCAAACTTTTGAACCTCAAGCATTTCCTCTGCAACAGTTCAAGGTTAAGAATCAGTTTCCCACCTGCAGCATGTCCACCATCTTCTTGAGCTCAGTGGGTTTGATTCCTGACGCCTGCTGCATGGTGAAGCCCTTGAAGTTTTCAATGATGCAGAACCCGTTGATCTGAGTCTCCTCGTTCTCCAGCAGTTTCTCCAGGATCACACAGTAAGCGCGCAGGATCTGAATGCGCAAAAACATACTATTATTATCTTCACTGCATTAAACCTTTTTCGTGTGGTTGTCTGAACTTCTGCTAATTCTACATTAGGGATGGGACAAATACAAGAACTCAGCTTCTGATACGATAAGTGTATCACTGTACCTCATCAAAGGTGATCTCTTCGTAGTCCCAATTCTCAATGTTGAAGAGCAGAACCACGCGGCCGTATTTGTCTCTGCTCTGCAGGATGCCGGGGTAACCGGCCTCGATGGTGCTGCGTACAGCCTCCGGGGTCAGATTCTCAAACAGCTCGGGGTAATCCTTTCTGAAACGCACGTAGCCTGAATAGAAGCACAGGAGGATCATTAGAGGACTGGTGGATTTCTGTCTTGGATGCCACTGAAGGTATTAGTGTCTATTCTCTCTGCCCATCACCTCTCAGGCAACACAGTGAAAGATTTAAGACACTTGAAGAGACTTTCAGTGGAGCACTATTGAATTCAAAGGGGGTTCTACAGATCTACAGATGTTGGAAAATGTTTGCTATCACCGCAACTGCTTTCTTTTTCTGGCTACAGATGTATTGAGAGGTGATATCAGAATCAGAATCAGTTTTCATGGCCAAATACATACACAACATACAAGGAATTTTGTTTCAGCTGTTGGTGTGGGAATGAGCAGGAATAATAAAAACAGGAAAATAAAAAATAAAATAAAATAACTATAGAAAGAAAAGAATTAAAATAAATAATAACAATAAATAAAATAAGATAACAGACATATACAATATATCATGCTTTGATAGACAGAGGAGGAAAGTGTTGCTGATATATCTGACTGTGCCACTTTCCACTGCTTACCTTTCATCAGGTCGAAGGCTCTGGGAACGTCGTACTTCCTGGCCCGGATGAAGCGGACCAGCAAACTGTCTGGTTTCTCCCCAAAGGTGTCCTGGACCCCTTTGGCCAGATCATCGCCTGCATCTGCCTTCTCTTTAATCATTCCTCGCAGCTCCTTCACTGCAGACACTCGCTTCTCATCTGTCTCGTTCAGTTCGTCCTTGGCCTGGAGGGGGAGCCAGACCAGACGGTTAGTTCAATTTGGAGGGTATACATTTTATACTGTTTAAGTACACACAGTCAAAAGAGAAAATTAAATGATTATACATAAATGTTTCTTTTTATTGATGTGATCAGTAAAAGACCATGAAGTTATCAGTTCAAATGTATAGACCGAATGAATATAACCTTCTTCTTAGACATTTTGATACCAAACCAAGCTTTGTGTTCTCTTACTAGACAAAGGGGGGAGACTGGCTAGGCTGAAAAAATACTCATTATTTGCACAACCTATTGTTAAGAAAGGGAATTTGACACTTAGTATATATCTATTTCACCATATTTTCTCTATTCAGCCTGTGATACATCATGTATACCTTAATAAACCCTACAGTTCAAACAAGGATCTCACTAATGAGTGGAAAAAATTCAGTGTGCAAACAGGCCTGCATACCTTCTGCTTGGTGTGGTCTGGCACGCTGGCGCAAGGTCCAAACACTGGCCCGTGGTCCTTGACGGTGAGACGTTCCAGCTTGGCCCTGAGAGCCTGCTCCTCCTCCGACACCATACGGTAAGTTCCGCTCTGAGGAGATAGCAGAGAGTAAAACACCCATGGTGTCTGTGAAAAACTGAAACACAAGGTACATTTCTGTAATATTATAAATCAGGAACAAGTACCCTGTGACAAGTATGATTGCAGTCCTGTTCAATGTGATAGAAGTCAGCTATTAGCTACTCGTAGTATTTTATAGTAGGATCCTAATCCTAATATTTGAATTTGTTTGGTAAATATATATAATAAATAATATCGTAGGATCTTAACCTTAATACTTGGTTTAAAACTGGTTTGGTAAATTCATATAATAAATCGTATTGTAGGGTCTTTTGTTTTAAACGTTCTATATATATTATGGTGACTTGTGTGAATTTTTGTGAGCACTAGAGGGTTGATGCTTTAGTAAAATAGCACTAACGCTGTGTAGGTAAATGATAAAAGCAAAGTTTGTCAGCTTTAGGTCAGTGTGGTAAAGTAGAAACAAACACTGGCTTACAGGCCTGTTTGTTATGACCCATATTAATGGTAACCGTGTAACTGAGGCTAGCACACCCCAGTAGAACCTTTTCTCATTTTACCATCACAGGAAAAGTACTGGTATAATTAATGTCATTAATAATGGATGCTTTCCATTTAGGTGTGCCAGTTCCATGACCTTGATATTGTGGATGCTCGCTCGCTGGTAGTGGCTAAGTAGCACATCTCAATGAAACACATCCATTTTTAATGATATCAGATTTACCTTTGCCGTCCAAAGTCAAACTGTGTGTGGTGATAAAAGTTAATTAATAAAGACACAGCAGGAACACCATAAAAGTTTCCCTACAAGCACAGAAATACCTGCATTCATTTTGCCTTCAGAGAAACACTTCAACTGCAGAATGAGTTGGATAAAAGCTAAAGGCCTCGCCATGTCAACATAATTCTCTCACAAGACTTGGCTGTGCAGTGTGAGCTTTAAAACATGTCTAATCAACGTGAGACAGTATGCTTGTCCACTAATGTTGCAGAACTACAATCAATAGGCCTCAGTGTTTGGTTAATCTCCCTCACATGAGGCCAGCAAAGCCTGTGAATACATGGTAAGGACCACTAGTAGACCAGAAGCAGGGATCGGAGATTAGCAGCTAAGGCTACTGTAGTTGTTGACGGAATCCATAACAATGGGCTTTGGTCTTGGGAAATGTTGAGCCGTGGCTGAAATCATATTACACAAAGATGAATGGATGTTTGTCCGGGTGAATGCTATGAGTTAATCAGACCCCTTTCCACCTTCAACCCTCCTGCTAGAGCTCAGTCTGAAAAGATTTGTGTAAAATATCAGCATTGATGACTTCTCCTAGCAAAACATAAATAAGGGAAAGTTAAAGTACTCACGACCACAGCCATGTCTTCTGCTCTTTAGATCAGCGTCGTACTGTATGGAAGAAAACAAGACTTTGTGATCCACATGATTCCCTTTTTAAAAAAAAAAAAAGAAAAAAAGAAAGAAAGGAAAAAGAAAAAAATGAATTGCCACACTGCATTCCACATTAATCTCCCTTCATCCCATCCTCTCTGCTCTCAGAGTACCTTGATTACGCTATATTTAGCACTTACCCATTACTAGGTGATCTATCAGGAGATATGAAGTCTTTTGGTTTCATAATCAACAGGCTCTTTGTGGCTGTTACAACACTGTTACGTTTTGTGGCGATAAACTACACGTAAGTGTTCACAAAGAGAGTATTCATACACAATTAGTACAAGTAAGTGTGTTATCTGTATGTATAAGTAAACACACATAAACACACACACATATAGGTGTATATATAAACTATACAACCACTTGGAACTTAATGAAATCAATTTGAACACAATTTGAAAAATCTTTTTCACAGCTTGTTGCTTTACATCCTGCATGGTATCATCCTGTCCTACACAGAATATCAACCAGCAGTAAGACTCTTTTCTTACAGAAAGCTACTGCAGACCCCTGACATCAGATCAACAGATATCCTCTTTCTAACATGCCTCATGTTACTTAGTAGGCATTTAGACTTTAGGACTGCTGGTTTCAGTGGGAATGCCTTAAACCTTGCCAGTATCAGTCTCATGATGTACATACTAAACAAGTTTGCATTCTTCTTACAACTACATGTAGCTTAAATACCTCAAGACACCAGAGAAATACTTGTAATGAAAAGCAGCTAAATATACATATTTTTTGTACCACTACATAAAACAACTTCAGTGTCCCTTGTCACAAGTAATGCCCAACAACTACAGCACAAGTTCAGGAGCTGCACACCATCAGCAGCATCCTCAGCAGGAGGCTGAGTCCTACCTGAGGCAGATGTGAAGTTGCTGGCGAGGAGTCACAGGGGTCTGTGTGGAGCAGGCTGGACGGGACCTCTGATTTGTAGTGTTGGGATTAGTGTCGTCACAGCAGATTACACCCAACAGATTTGTTTTTCTTTTCAATCAGCATAAAAGTGGCAGTGGGTGTGAAGAAGAGGGGGGGCAGCGATGTGGCGGTTTTGGGCCAATGGTGGAGGTGCTCCGGTGGCGAAAGGCAGACGGAGAACGCATTTTGAATGACGTAATGTGGAGTATACACTTTAGGTAAGAGGTGGTTTAAGGGGGTGGAGGGATTTCAATGCATTCCAAGGAGACTTGAATGAAGTGAAAAGTGGCCATTGTGACTGCGCTGAGTCCTGGTTTGATTTGTGCAACGTGAACATGCTCAGGTGAGAGCAGAGGTGGGGCCTCAAGTGGTGTGGTTCACATGTTCAGAGGCATAATTGTGAATGGGAGGCCAACTTAGTTATGATATTGTCATGATACTAATTAAACCACCAGTAATATTATCAAAAAGGCAACAGACCTTGTTTTCTTGCAGTAAAACCCCAAAAAGTTCATTTTAATTTCAAACAGAATTAAACTCACATTGCTTTTACTGTATTAAGCAAGACTGCCTCATTTCTCAGCAAACTTATGTGTGGAAAAAGTATTTGTCTTTATAGATGACAACATACCAGAATTTGATTATAAGAAAATTATGTGATATATCACATAATTCAATACATTTTATGCAAATCTGTCAAAATATGTTCATGTTTTTGGGAAATGATGCTGTTGCAATGGCGTGAGTCCACATATTTTGCTCTTTTGCTGAGATCAGACTCTGTGTTTAGTGTATATACACAATTTCTGCAACAGGAAATCCCACCACTAACCGAAAGACAATCAGAAGGCAAGAAAAAGTGAAAAAGTAGCATAAAACACAAACATGTACGAAATGTTTCAAACATCACAAGGATCTTAAGGATGGAGGCCGTGAACATCAACAGGGCTCGAAACAAGCTTCACTTTCATGCACAAACATTTAAAAGCCCACAGCCACCACCACCGCAAGGATTTGGATTTAGACTTAGGTGCACTTATATCAGTAAACACGTACCCTAAACTACCCGCAGTTCCCTGTGATCAGATTAGTTCTCACATACACATCATATGTCAGCACTCAGCCCATAATGACACCATGCACGTGGCGGTCACCTTGACAGCTGTATCGTGGAGGACGTGAATATGTTTTGGTGTGGGCTACAGCGAGCTGAGAGAAAAGCTTTATATAATGTGATCAGCCCTTTATCACATCAGACCCAAGCACTCAGTCTGCATGTCTAATCACAGCAGAGTGAGGCTGAGGTGTGCACGAAAATAAATTAACAACAGAGAGCCACTGGACGGTTGCAGTTGTCACTTCAGGGCTGCTGTTGGGTGAATTTGGTGTTTTAGCTTTAATGTAAAGGCTGCAAAAGGGCTACAGTCGTTGTCTTTATTCAGCTTTTTGTAAAACCATGTGATAAACCCACACTTATAGGACGATGCGTGGAGGAAAGATAAAGGTGGTGTTTGTGTTTTTTCTCTCTGTTGCATATGACAGTGAGTCTAAGAGTTTTTCACCTCATAGATCTTTTTAGATGGACTCAAGAACTCACCTCTTTTGTTCAGTTGGGTTCATCTTACCTCCTTGAATTGGATCTTGTGCAACACATAATTATATAAATTCTATTTTTTTTTTTTTAAATCCATTATTTCATACAGTTGAACATTCAATGTTTAGGTCAGTTTGGTCAGAGCTGTTTCTACTTTTGTTTTAGCTATGTATTTAAACATCTTACCATTTGTGTCAGCTTTCAATTGTTCCCTCTGTTCATCTGTACTCTTAAGCCATACATACTTTTAGGCAGCTATTTAAACCATTTAGTCACTCTTTTTATTGTTTTGTACCTACTCTGAATAATTCATCTATTCATTTAGCGCTGTATTTCCACTGCTTATACTTAACTTCCTGTTAAATGTTAGCTTTTCTGCTCAGGTTCACTCAGTCCTTTTATGAAGTATAGTATCTGTTCGCTGGTGTTTCCACATATCCACCAGTGACTGCACATATTTTCCCCTGGGTTGGGAATCATGTGTTACTATTAGTTAATTATTGTATTCAACTGGGACCCTAATGGCAGCGAGCATCTCAACTCATCTCATTTGTCCCCTTTTTCTGGTCATTTTTCCTTCCTAATGTCTTTTAAATTATAATTATGCTTCAGTAAAAAAAAACAGAAGTCAGCGTCTCCAGTGAGGGTGTTAAAGGCAAACTCAGCAAAACAATCAGTTCAAGTCCTGTTGGGGAATACGTTAGAGACAGAGAGCAAAAAAATATAAACATCACCAAGAAGTACACAAGAAAGAGTCAGGCGCACATCTGTGATTGAGTTATGTGTACATTCATGTCTGCTGCAAAGAATGAAATGCTTTAACTTCATCTATTCCAGGGGGAAAAAAACAACAACAAAACAAAACACATTTTAGAGCTAAAAACATGTTGTATATTAATGTATCAGCTAATCTACAGTATTTGAATCAACTTGTGCTTTGGGATACCATGATGAAAAATCTGTAACTATTTTACAACCTAAATGAATCCTAAAATAAGTGCTAAACTATAATCATTACTTGTTTTTATTGTAGTGTTATGAACATAATCACCCTTCAACAAACCCTGTTTAAGACACTGATAAACTGAAGTGACATATTTTTCTGTACACTCTGTCTCCTCCCTAAAGGCATCAGGCTAAAATGGATGTTATCGTTTTCATACTTCCTGTTACAGACTTCTCCCTCCGTGGCAGCACCATCTGCTGTCTTTCCAAACCAACCTGTGACCTCTGCTCTTATTAAGATGTCCTGCCTCACCAGGCAGGTTCCTCCTCATCCAACAGTGTGTGGACTCATTGCACCAGCAGTACGCTTTGTGTGATTCATGCTTGGACGTTGGCCATTTTTCCTCCCTCTGACCCCGGTGTTGCTGAGGTCACTGACACACGTTTTTCTCCTGGTGCAATGACGAAGGAGCAGGCAGGCAACCAGTAATCTGCTAAACTGGGCCTGATCTGCTCAATAAAGCGATTTGGGGAACAAAATTAGATGGATTGGGCAAACAATGCTGCGCTCTGTTCTCTACCTATAGCCTGAGCTGTAGGGCCAAGTTCAGCTTCAGACGTGTGTGTGTGTGTGTGTTCATGGGTTTGAGTAAGAATTAAGACGCTGAGGCACAAGGACAAAGCCTTTTACAGAACCATGCAGTACTGTATAACAAAACACACAGCTCCACCTGCAGCTCGCTGCCCTGCATGTTCAGTTCATGCTGGTATGCACCACAATGCATCATAGACTGGCGGAACACTTTACACACACACAGTTGTGCTGCCTGCCGCTCGCTGCTTCACATGGATTTAGACATTTCACTCACTTGATTTAACAAACGGTGTTACAAACTGAATATGGCACTTTCATGTGGCTTACTATTTCCATTTCCATTTAAACTCTTCTTTTTGCCAAATGAAATGAGCAGACTGGGCCAGTCCAACCTCACTGAAGTGGGTTTTGTAATATATTTGGATATGCTGCCATCAGATAACTTCATATGCTGATTTGGTGTTTGTGACGGACTCTGACTCGCTGGTTTAGATGATCCCCAAAACACTTTGCAACACTACTGGCCTCGTGGTTTTTGTGATAAGGACTTTGTGATACTACAAAACAGAAAATGTGAGTGAAATTTAAAGTTTATTTCTCAATTGGTAATATCTAGAACATTTAATAAATGTCTTCAAAAATATGTTCAGTAAAGCATGTTGGGTGATCCTTAGCCGTGGTTGGATCCCTATTGCCCTATAAGCCTTATTGAAAAATATAACAGCTTTTAA